AAAAAAAAAGACACTGAAACCCCAGAGGGAACTCAGACTAGAGGGGATATTTTAGAAGCTAGAAGCCAGTTTTGGAATTTGGTCCTTCCTGAGAATCCTCAGGAATTGTTTAGTGTTATATTTCGATTTTGCAGCATGTGCGAAACAGGCACAAACCTCAGTTTCTGAATGTTGGAAGAGATCCCTGAGAGCCTGTAGATCCCATCCACGACTCCATGTTTCTCTATGAAGTCTGCACAACTCTTAACAACCTGGGGCACTGCAATAGACAAAAGATGGTCAGCGACATGCTTCATTCCTTAAGTTGTCTATGCATTACCACATAAGAACAAAACCCCCCAAAAGTCATTGTTCCTCTGATTAACAAATGGACTCTCCTCTCAAGCAGCCTGCAGTAGATCTTACAGAGGAGGCTGAAGAGTGTGATCCCCATGAAGCTGGAACACATTCTCCGGTCCACCTTCTTAAAAAGAGAAACCACTACCACAGTCTACCAATCCAGAGACATTGTCCTCAAGTTCAGTGCTTTGCTGCAAAAGCATGCCCACTAACACAGCTCTGAAACATCCGGTTACTTAAGAAATTCGAGAAGAATCTCATCCACCCCAGGAACCTGGCCATCAGTGATGGGCAACTCTTCCCCCTGGTCCCCAGTCTCTGATTCTTCTATGGAAGCCGTGCTACTGGGATCTAACTATTCCAGTGCACTACACTTACTGTAGACAATGTGAGTAGAGCCCTGCTCTCCCCTCCTGGAAAACCTGATGGTTTGCCACAATTCCCCCAAAGTCTACCAAAAGTTTTACACCATAGTCTCAATAAACTCCTCCCACATCAAAGTTTTTGCTTCAGCTACTGCACAGCTGCGCTCCATACAGCCTGCTGGTAAAAATGAGCTTCCCCCAAAGGGAAGCTCTCTCTTTGAGATCGGATGAAAAGCTCAGTCTTTGAAAGAGGCTCAGAGTAAAGCTACTGCTCCTCCACATCAAAAGCTAGTTGAGGTGGTCTCCTGGACGCCTCCTTGGTGAGATCCTGACATGTTTTACTGGGAGAGGGTCCATTGGATGAGTTAGGGAGGTGGTTGGGGAGAGGGAGGCCTGAACATATTTGCTTAGACAGCTGGCCCTGTGACCAATGACTCAGATAAGTGACAGAAAATGGCGGTTGTAACAATAAAACATCAGTTTTGTCTTGATTCAGTGTACTGTGCATCTCTACATGTTATTACAAGCCAAGACTTTTACTAACCACTGCAGTCTGTTTACTGGGTTGGCCATCACTGACCACTGGCAGGTAACAGTGGTAAACGTCCAGCTTATCTCTGCATCATTCTCTGTTTCAACTCCAATAGTCACATTTAAATAGCTGCTTTTTAGTGTGTTTTTGTGATAATCTGCTATTTTCGCACCTTAGACATGGATCACTTTGCAGTAAAGACTCAAACACGCTTATAGCTAGTGTCAGATTGAAAGTCATCGTTAAAAATATGCTTTCTTCAGGTGTTTTATAAGTTGAAGGTTTTCTATATCACGTTGCTTATGTTACATTTTACACGCATTTTTGATACCTCGATCGGTTCTTTCAAAAGCGATTTTTGAATGGGACGCCCTGACAAAAATCAATCATACCACGAAGTACTGCATGTGCAGCCAAAGCCCGAAAACCTGGATCGTATTTCTCCGTACCACAGCGTGGCTTGTTGTGCTATGCAACAATGAAAAACATTTCACTGAGTCAATGTGTTGCAGTGGATAACAGGCTCATTCATCACTGTAAATACAAGGTACTGTGGTTTATCTTGAGCGAATCCAAAACACACAGTCCTGAGGCTGTTAAGACTCTTGAGTGAAGTGTTTACGCAGCATTTAAACAAACATCGCCCACCTTCAACAGGTAAAAACACTGTAATTCAACTGGATTTTTTCCTATTTCAGCTGTTTTCTATGAATCATTACTCACTGGCTAAAGTGTTCCCACGAGGAAAGGTTACAAGTAGGCATCGCTTCATTGTAAGGAGTCACAACACAGGTGAAATTACATTGTCCAGCGTGAAGAACAGATTTTACTACAATATTTAGCAAGAAATGTATGAAATCAAAATAATACACAAGATGAAAGGTGAAAGTCACATGAGTATTGTCTACCTATTGACCCAAAGGCCTAAAAACCCAAAATACACAAAGCAGTTTTGGCAAATCTACAAAAATCTACAAAGAGCCAAAGATTCACGAAGTAATCCCTGCTTTGGGATTAGTTCTTACCTTCCAGCAGTTTACACTGAAATGTGAACAGCCAGCAGGTAAAAATGATTCACTGTAAAATAAGAAATAAAAATCCATTTTACCCTCATGTCCTGAGTTGTGGAGATGTTCCCCCAGGTCACAGCCAAACACGCGCTCTCGGAGGATGCCGCGCTGCCTGAGCTTCTGCGGCGGCGGTCGAGACTTCATAAAAGACCTCAGGAACGTTACCAGCTTTCCATGCTTCTTACACACTGATTAAGATGAAACACAAGTCTTAAATAAATCATCACGCACCGACACACACGCACACACACACACACACACTGAAAAGTACCTGGCTTTGGCACTGAGCTTTGAACACTGGGGGGAATCTTGTCATTTATCAGCTCAACACAGTCACAGGGGAAGAAACCAACCTGGAAGAAGAGAGAAGAGAGACTGAGAGGACTAAAGGGGAGAGACAGAAACTGTGATACGCTTGAATGTTAAAAGGACCAGAGGGGGTGTTTTATGCTGGAGCAGACTGTTATACGGCGAGGGTGCAGAAATAGGTCAGGAAGCATGAGACGCTGCCTCAGACGCTAAATCGTCAGCTATCAGCTGCAATAGTGTGGCTGGCATTGTTTGTGACAAACAGACACAAAACCTGTGAGTCTGTCTCGTTGCGTCTAGATCCTCATTGCAAAACGTGCTCCTGCTGGCAGCAACTACTTCTGCTCTAGCAGGGACAACAACACATTTGATTACTTTGCTAAGGTCTGTCAAAAGATTTGGACA